GTATCGTTTCTTATACCCCTGCCTGTAGCAATCCATCCCTACTATGTTTCCCCCCATACACACACCCCGTATCTCTCTGTTACATATTTAATAAACACCACAATAACCTAGGATTAAAAAAAAAGACCATCATCACATGTAATTAAATGACATACTGCATGGGATGATGGGCTTTGTTTTCTTTTTTTGTGTGTGTGGTTTGTTTTTTGTTTGTTTTTTGTTTGTTTTTTCCTCTGCCTTTCTTTTTCTATTGTTACGTGATTATGTTGTCTATGTAATAAAAAAAAATTCTATAAAAAAAAAAGAAGAATGGATTTGTGGGTGTGAGGACAAGTTCATGAACTTTCAACTGGGTGGGAATCCTAGGTAACTTCCAGAATTGGGATTCCACACATGTGCCAAGATGTCTGACTTATTAAATTGGAACTTTAAGGATCGTTTTGCCTTGGACTCTGATTTAATTCTGCATGATACTTGGAACGCTGACACAGAGAGGGGGCCAAGACCGTCTGGAAGTTCACAGCTGCCTTCAGAGCTAGACAGCAGTGTGGCAGAGGAACAGATGGAGCCTGTTCCCAGTGTGCAGAGCTGCCAGAAGAAAAAAAAAACAGCTAGGAAATCAGGGTTGACTTGGGAGTAAAGCCACAGGTGGACGGTGAATGGCCCTTTCCATTGGAAATAAAAGAGGAGCGAAAGGGGGTTGGGCTTTTGCAGGAAACAATTCGTTTGTTCGTTCATTTCAGGAGTGTGAAGATCTGTCCGTGAATCATAGAGACTCTGTGCCCAGTCTTTCCTTGCACAGCACTGCTTTAGGAAAATATTTACATGGCAGCTTTCCAAGCTAGATAAGGTCTGCAGTCATAAATACACCTTTGAAAGACTGTTTACCAGGCCTTTGCTGAATGTGAATAAGAGGAATTCACATTCTTTTAATAAAAGGGGTTTTGTTGGGACCAGGACTCTGCCTCGTGCTTTTTGGAGAAGCCTGGATCAGAACAGGCAGCACTGTTTTTTTTCCTATCTTTAATAAATATAATACTTGTTTTAAATAGAATCTCATTTTGGTTTTATTCACAGTTATGATTTGTTAGCATTACTGTATTAATATTATAAATTAATCTAGGTTTTCATTCTGATAGCCTGTAGACTCCATGTTTTCCTGTTCATACACGGTGAAAGCTCTGATTTTCTATTCTACGCTTTCGATTTTTTTTTCTTTTTACTCTTTTATTTAATGGTAATAAAAGTATAATTTTAAAAAGGGGGATTACAAAAATTGCAAATAAATTCACAGTTAAGAATTGATTAAACAACACTTGTGTTACTTAATATCTCCCCCTCATCTTCTGAACAGAGAAAGAATTTACCAGGCTCAAACAAAACCACAAAATGGAAGTTCAATCTTGAAGGAAAAGAGTATTTTTAAAGAAAAAATTGTTGAATAGAATATATATTTTTTACTCTTTTGCCATAAAATAGGTAAAGGTAAAAGGTTCCCCTCGCACATATGTGCTAGTCAATCCTGACTCTAGGGGGCGGTCATCTCCGTTTTAAAGCCGAAGAGCCAGCGCTGTCTGAAGATGTCTCCGTGGTCATGTGGCCGGCATGACTAAATGCGGAGGGTACACGGAACGCTGTTACCTTCCCACCAACGATGGTTCTTATTTTTCTACTTGCATTTTTTACGTCCTTTCGAATTGCTAGCTTGGCAGAAGCTGGGACAATAACAGGAGCTCACTCAGTTACGCAGCGCTAGGGATTCGAACTGCTGAAGAGCCAACCTTTCTGATCAACAAGCTGAGTGTCTTAGCCACTGAGCCATTGCATCCATCAAAATAAACCACAAAATAATCTGCCTGTTTTGGGAAAATGCGCTCCATGGACATGGTCCAAGGGAGGCTGAAATATCCAAACATTTGTCATGCAGTCCTGAGTAATGAGGTTGTTGAGGATTTATTCCAAAGAAGGCTATATTTTTTAATATAGCCTTTATAGTAGTCCTGCTATTGTCTTGGCCAATCTGACTTTCGGGATAGGAGGTACCGAGCCCCTTTGGGGAATTAACCATGGAGAAATCAGCAAGCAGAGAACATTTAAGGAATCCCCCTAATGATGATACAAAGTGGGCAAGTCCATTCTTTTTTGGGGAGTGGGATCCTTGTTTTATGGGGGGGGATATAAGTAGGACTTTCGTGTCCTACTTATGAAGCCAACTGTAGGATCAGGAGTGGGGTGGAGTGAAAGGAGAAACCAGCCTAGAATCGTTACATAGCCACAAGCAAAATCAGTTCAACCCCGTCCACGTGTGTGTCATTGGCCCTTATCTAACTCTAACCAGGTATCCATCATTAGTTAAGAAGGTTCCTGTATGTAGGCTTTTAGCAATAAAGCAGTCTAACTGAACCTTTATATGTGGACCTTGTTTTTCACACTTGACACCTGCATCCATCATACTGAAGAGGGTCTGCAGGCCACCTTAAGTGAGAGTTGTCCACTCTCGCTCTAAATATACGGGGCGGGGGGGGGACATCTTTTCACAATAATGTCAGAAATGTAATTGGACACCGAATGAAAAGCTAAGAAACAAAAGAAATGGGGTTTTTCTCATTAAATAAGCCTATTTCGGTACACGGTCAAATCCCAGGAAAGCGTGGCACATCCTCCTTTAATGACAAAATAAGCTCTCTCTCTCTTTTTTTTCTTGGAAAAAAAAAAGAAAGAAGAAAATCCTTATTTTAAAAACCTTCACTTGGTACACAATGAAATGAAACCTGTGTTGCTGGGGAAGTCGGGGAGAAGAAAAAAGTGACGTTTTAGATGTCTTACAATTTCATGGAAGAAGACAGGCCCTGTGGTTAAAGGCCATTGCTAAAGGAGAAACCTTTAATGGTAGCTTGCTTGGGAAACCAACCGTTATTATTTTCCATCACAATTGGTATTTGGAAAAGAAGAGTTAAAAAGGAAACGAGGATCCAACAGCCCAACTATTTTTTTTTTTAGTTTAAAGTTTGATCGTTCATACGGAAAGGAATTAATTGGTTCCTCTGATTTTTTTTTTTAATTAACTGTCTAAGGGGTTTCTAAGCTGTAAACAGTTAGTCTCCAAAGACACGTTACAATTCCCAGAAGCTCTCTCTGTTATGGTCAAGAAAGGCCTCTCTATATTTTGACAAGAACACAACCATCCACTTGATGGAAACCAGGTTCCTCTGGGTTATATCCCAGCCAACTGCTCCCCCTAGAAATTGTTGTGTTGCTTGGGGGAGGAGAATGTGCTTCAGTACATTTTTTTCTCCTTTTTTAAAAAAGAAAGTCAGCTTTTGTATATTTTAGTAACCTGGTGCAAATAAAAGGAATAATAGGCCAATAATACATAATTGGCTTTCTAAAACACCTTATTTTCTAATGTACGGGAATTACTCTTCTTAAACTAATGTTCCCGGTATGTGTGAATGTATGCTCGTAGAATCTTCATCACCAGTTTATGGTCTCGGATTCCATTATTCCCTCTTACCTTGTCATCATCATCCTCGTCCTCTTCTACAATAATGTAGTCCTTTAAAATAAAAAAGAAGAAAAACATTAGACTATTTGAAAAAGTCCACACAAAAATATATGCTTTTTATTTTTTTTTAAAAAAGAGTTAAACAAACCAGAATAAAAGCTGCCTTGTATATTATTCGTATCTTGTCTGCCTGTTTATTGTCTGTCTGTCTATCTATCATCTCTATTTATTTATTTATTTATTTATTTATTTATTTATTTATATCTTTCATCTATATCTACCTATCATCTCTATATATCTATCATCCATCCATCCATCCATCCATCCATCCATCCATCCATCCATCCATCCATCCATCCATCCATATCTATCTATCTATCTATCTATCTATCTATCTATCTATCTATCTATCTATCTATCTATCTATCTATCTATCTATCT